CCCCACCCACGGCGTCTCCCCGAGTCACTCTCCACGTCACATCCTCCAAGGAAGTTTTACAAGCACGTCGTTGCGCTTGCTCACAGGAACCAATGTTTAGATATATAAGGAGCAAAAGTAAACATTTTCAAAGGTGAGAGGGTCCCCCCCTACAGATTTGTAGGGAACAGCTTGGGAATCACCATAGACAACCTGGTTAGAAAGCCGGAGACGTCGCGAGTCCTGGGAGATAAGGACTCCTCTGTTTAAAGGAGGATGCCACCCTGGGTGACCGAGGACGCGATGTGCTGGGCTCCGCAGAGCAGCCCAGTGTCCGGTTAGAGGACAGCCTTCAGTGTGTCGCAGACCTGGGCTCACACCCTCCTCACTGACCCTGGTCTTACACCAGCCCTCTAACTGAAGCTTCAACTTTCCTGTCTCCGGGCTCAAGGCAGTAATGCCACCTCCTCCCAAGGCTGCTGTGAAAACAAAAAAACTGAACTCAAAGCCCTCCCATCAGTATGGCGCACAGTCAGCACACAGTCAGCACACTCATGTTTGCCTGGCACATAGTCAGCGTGTTCCTATCAGCCTGGTGCACAGTCAGTGCATTCCTGTCTGCCCAGCACACAGCACACAGTCAGCACACTCCTATTGGCCCAGTGCACAGTCAGCACGCTGGCTGGACAGGGTAGACACTATTCCTACTTTACTGTTATCACTACTACAAACATTGGCAAAGTAAGCACACCTTTTATGCTTGAACTCTGTCCTCTTAAGGAAATGTGAAATACAGAATAAAATTAACTGTTTTTTAAAAATCCATCATATCTTGGTCACTTTGGCACAGTATACTTTGCCTCAACAAATGTGATCTCTAAAACTACGGCCACAGAATCACAGCTTAGGGCCGGCCGAGTGGTGTGTTGGTTAAGAACTGGCTTGGGACGCCAAAGGGCCCCGGTTCGGATCCCACATATGAGGGCCAATGACACTGCCCTCTGCAGCTAAGATGTTAAACGGAAGCTCAACCTGGGGCTGGGCTGCTGTGGGTCGCCGGGGACGGCGTAGGCTGCAGCTCCCTGGAGCAGTGGGTTGCCATGGGCTACCGTGTGTGGCCAGCAGCCAGCGTGAGCGGCCAGCAACCGCAGTGAGCAGGCGTCCAGAAGCTGGCGACTGATGTGCCTCGCCAGAGAAGAGCGCAATGATGGTGCCAACTTGGGCCAGTGAAGCAACGTCCTCCACAACTAGACTGAAGAACAAAACNAAAAAAAAAAAAAAAAATTGGCACCAGCTTACTAAAAAGAGGATTTAATCTTCACAGCTAGTGACATTATATGGTGGGATTGGAAAGTAAATAAGGCTGACGATTCCCAGCGACCTCAAAAATAAAGAGCAGCCAAAACTGAGATGAAAAACCATCTTTTGGGAAAGCAACTCTCGAGTCAGTGGTACACACAAAAGATGTTTTCATTTTACTTTGCATGAAAGAGCTGGGCAACTGAATCATCTTATCGACCCTCTTGTGTTTTGAATTTTTTTTAAATTCGCTTTTTATGTGACAAGAGTTTCAGGTTTGCAGAATTATTGCCAAGTGAGTACCAACAGTTCTCGTGTACCCCACACTAAGCTTCCTCTATTACTGACATCTTACCTTAGTAGGGTCCATTTTTACCATTGGAACAGCTATTAATATGTTATCATGAACTGAAATCCATTCTTTATTCAGACTTCCTTTGTGTTTACCTAATGTCTTTCTCTGCTCCAGAGTCCCCCCAGGAAATGGCCTTACTCTTGACAGTTATGTCTCCTTAAGCATTTCTGGATTATGACGGCATCTCAGACTTACTGTGTGTTTGATCACCTTGACAGTTTGAGGGGTTAATGCTCAGGTATTTTTGCAAAATGCCCCTCAGTTGGGCTTTTGTCTGATGTTTTTCTCTTGGTTAGACTGGGGTTAGACTTTTAAAATAGCTTTTGCCTCATCCTTTAACTCTTAAAAAAAAATCACCATAACCTCATATTATAATAATGTGGATTATTGCTCATCATCATTTCAATCTGCTTATAAATGAAAATGTCTGCAAGTAGATTGAAGGGAATGCTTAAAAATGAATTACCAACCACATCAAAGTTCTAAAATACAGCTAGCATTTTATATATGCTCCTGTACAATAAAAAAAACCCACATTAATAATTAATATTAATTAATTGAACCTCAGATATGATACGGTAATGAAAGCACAGCTGACAGGTAATAATTCCTAGAATTGCAGGGAGATATTTTGGATTAGGTTAAATTTGTGCATTTTAAGGAACGAACATATATTTTGATATATTCTTATCCAAATCCCAGGCAGATTTTTAAAAAGCTCCCTTCCAAGCGGTTTTATGGAACAAAGATATCCTTGAAATAGCAGGACAAATGTGACCCTTATTACTACTACCTTGTTATAATGTATTAACTCTTACTATTCCTCTAACTGTTCACGTGTGACAACCACTGTAAAAGTAAACACTTTAGCACACGGAGGGGAGAAAAGGGACTCCCCTAATAAAGCCACTGGCTCAGTGACAAGCCACTATTTTCATGACACAACTCATCTCATTTGTGACGGAAAACATTCACAGGTCTTTCTGTGTCAGCCAAGCTCTGGATTCCTATCCAGACCTTTATAAAATTTTTAATAAGCATGCCCCGGGTTATTATTTGGCTTTCGTCCTGAGGACAAAGTCAACAGAAGTGGCACGTGTTCCCCACGGCAGGGGGAACTGCTCCCTGAGGTGACCTTGGTCAATGGGTGAAAAATAGAGAGCTAGGCAGGTGGGCCAGCCCAGAACGCAAGCGCTTTATGAGCTATGAAAATTACTAGACTCTCTTCTTGCTAAGATTTTTTCCGACACCTGATTCAAACAGGAAAACAACTCCAAACCCAGGAAGCATTCCAGAATACACCCCCTCCGCCCCTCATAATGGCCAGTCACAGGGTTCCTGGCTCTGAGCAGAGCTTCTGGGCAAACAGCCTGAGCCTGCAGACAGCCTGGCCCAGCGGGAGGTTATCCAACCACCTATCAGAACCATGCGTGGGGAACCCACCGCCCTCACAAGAGCACAGGGGCCACCTGCAGCCTCTTGGTAAACACTGAAAGCCCCTCAGGCAGTGCCACAAAAACCAAAAGGTGACAGACAGAGACTTCTTAATCTCAGCACACATGTTTCCTAGGGCTGCCATGGCTGCGCTCCCCGCCCCCTTTCGGAATGTGAAGTCTGTAGGAGGAACAGGTCTACAGGCTGAGGTCAGAAGGGAGAAGGCCACCTCTGAATGCAGTCTGTCTCCTGATTTTCTCGCTCCATCTCAGACAAAACAAAACAGAAGCAAACGGCGACCGGCGCTTCGCTGCCATCAGGTCGGCACGCACAATACATTTCTAAGACGTGAGGAAGAGATCATCTAGTCATCGAAGGTCAACCAAGAAAGAGACATACATCTCGTCTGGTCCAGCCACACAGCTGATTAATGAAGGGAAAACGTTTTGTTGTTCGTTTTTTAAAAAAAGATTCAGCTCTTCGTCAGCTACCTGAAAATCGCACATGGTCACCTCTGAAATCTATGTTCCCCCCCCCCCCGCTTTCTCCTTTGTCCAAAATTATCATATATACCCAGTGCTGCCTCACTGACTTTGGAACTTTCATGCTTATGTGAATTCCCCATGCGCACGTATTACACATTTGGTTTTCTCCTGCTAAATACGTAAAAAGACAAAAGATTCAGCCCCGTTTCCTCTAAGGAATCAGGACCAACCTAGAGGAGGTGACGTACCTGTTGAGAGCTGATATTTATAGGTTGCTTTAAAACGATCCATGTGACACTTTCAAGAAGAGGTGGGACTGTCAGAGAACCAGGGTATGTCCAGTAATCCCAGGACGGAGGAAGCAGAGATAATGGGTCAAAATTCGTGAATCGAGTTTGTTTCCCCTGGGGAAGAAAAGAGGGTGCCACAAGTTACAATCAGAAAGCTTCAAAGAAAACATACCTCCAACGAAACAGGACTTCACTGGGATGAATTCACCCGTGGAATTATTTAGCACCTGTGTTCTATATCCTTAAAAACGTATCTGCCTTAATCTAAAAATTTTACAGGATGTAAGACATTGCTTATATTTGTTTAAGAAGCACGAGATTTGTTTTCATATAAGTCGTCTTTAAAATGAAGGCTTATTCTGCAAAACTCCAATAACAGAAACTAACTATGCATAAATAGATTTATCAGTGGTTATTTTAGGTAATTGAAGACACCCTCCTAATTTTCAGGAGATAAGTGGTAACCAGTTACTTCTGCTCCACTGGTCAGGGATGTTGAAACCTGCTCCCCAGAAGGCAGCACACGCTATGTCTCAGGCCCCTGCTTGCAAAAGATGGTAAGAGAGCTCAGGAAAAACCAGGAACGTGTTAGTCATTCGTCAACAGGGATTAACTTTACCTTTTCTTTAATGGAATGCAAAATGTCAGTAATCTTTTGCAGTTGAGGGTTATGTTCACCAACCTGAAAATATGAAAAGAAATGATGACTGCTCCAGATCAGGTTGGAATCACCCCATTTCAGGCGCTATTTTAAAATTCTTTAAAAACAAAAACAAAACACAAACAAAAACAAAAACCCTAAGCCAGCCCAGAACAAAGGGTGATTGTGCAGCTCTGTTCCTCGGGCCTTATCATGTCTGACAAATCTGAACAAGATAACATTACAGGGCAGCCTGATCCCCAAACCAGGAGCCATGGTTCCCCACTAGCTTTAGGGATGTTTCAGAGACAGGTTAACGTGAGAGAAACTGTGCTTAGGACACGTCCAGAGAATACCTGCGCTATTAAACCAGAGGAGACCATCAGACCCTAGATCCAAACTGACTATTGTGACATCGGAACCTCAGAGGAAACTATCTCCCACTCTCGGCCTAAAAAAAAACGATCTGAGGTCCCCCCTCGAGGCAATCTACCGTTGTGAGCAGAATTCTTCAGGACAGGACAAGTTGCGCGTCTCCTTTTCGGAGTGGGTGGCAAAACAAAGGTGCACACACCCTCCAGGAATGTGGTTGCAGTGGGAGCAGAGCGCCCCACCCACCCGCAGGGGGGATGACGCCATGCCTGCCTCACCACAGGTGACGACAAGACCAAAAAAAAAAAAAGGCCACGCATGTGGGACTCCAAACCATCAAACCATTGTGGCCCAACTCATGCCTAAAGCACCAGGAAACTAAATTTTCCTTTGTCCGGTATCTGGAACTACTGTGTCATCGGGAACAGCCGAGAATACTGACGCCCTTCCCAGGGCCTCAGTTGTCACTTCTGCTGCTGTTGCTCTTCAGTGAAAATGGCCAGGGGACATGAGGTGACAGTGTCCCGGGGCATTCTAGGCCCTTGGGAACCACGAACATGCAAATGTTTAACGTTGGTCCCCAAAGGAAAGCGTCAAACCTGGAACTAGCTTGCTATTAAGATGGTAGAGTGTCTGAAATTCTATGCAAACCTGCCGATTCCTTATTTCGAAGGAACCCGGTGAGTCCTGACCTGTAAAAATACTCCCAGGACGGCCAGTCCGTCGGGCTCATGAGCTGCCTCCACGAAGCTGGGGTACTTGTCTGAGTTCCAGTGAACCACGTGGAGCTGAAAGGGAGAGACACGCGTAAGGCAAAGGCGCGTTTTTCAAACACCCTCCAAACCCTAAATGCGAGTAAAGCATTTATGTAGATGTGCTGGCACTGCGTACTTTTATGTGTAACATGTTCGTCACCAGAACCCAGGACAGAATCCGCCGCTTTACTGGAGTCCCAAAGACCCCAGGGAGGGAAGGCCCACGTCACTCAGCCATTCTGTGCCGCGCTGTGTTGAGGTGTAATGAATGTTTAGAGGGCTCTGGAGTCACCTGTCACGTCTCTCTAGCCCTAACAACCTCCAGCCACCATTCCCAAGGGACCTGGATCTTGGGTTTCTGCAAAATCCAAAGATGTCCCAAACGTCCTACCATCGTAAACAGTGCAGTGTCCCAAACGTGCGGACAAGTGGGTGAGACTGTAGAATAACAGGAAGGCACAAAACCACCCCGGAGGGTCTTCGTTCCTGGTTACGGGAAGGACACGCTGAGATGGAAGCCACAGGGCAATGTGACATACTGGAATGACATGGCTGAGACCGCGACCAGGCCGTGCTGCGTGAGGCACCGGCTTCAGAGAAGCTCTAAGTGATCCTCTTGGCCCCTCGGGGAGGAAACCCGTGTGAAGGGTTTCGGGCACAATCACCTTTCTCGCTGACTATGACACAGAGAACCCCATCTACTGAAACACATTTTCATCCCATCCTTTCAACACAACTACATCTTACAGGTAAGAATATGGGGGCATTTCTGGAGAAAGGAGGAAGATCCCAAACAGTGAACTGTAAAACTATTACACAGTGCACTGCCCACCAGCACCGAGGGTGACGGCAGGACGTCCAGACAGAGCCTGTGGAGGTGGCTCCCCCGTTCCAAGGAGGTGTGACATCGTTGGGAAGGAACCAAACCTGACATCACTGAGTGATAAAACAGACTTTGCTCGGCCCACAGGAGATGCCAAAGTCCCACGGGGAGGGGCTGACGAGGACGTTAGCGTTGTTTCACGTGGCTGCCTGCCAACCCACGGGTTCCCTTAGGGAGAGGTGACACCACAGACACACACAGATGTGAAGTGACTTCTTTACATTCACAACCACAGCTGATTAGGAAACCATTGCGACACGGCAGACAGAGGAGCCTATATGTCTCCCTGCTGGATAAAAGCAACAACCATGTGAAGCATGATGGGAAACCAGCACAACAGGCGTCTTCTGTTTGTTTTAAGCAAGCCCTTCTCTCACCCACACCCCTTGCGTAACTGGCGGCAACACCTTGGGAGGAACGGAAATCACTTTTATTAGTGTCTGTATTTGAACTAAAACGCAAACAAAGGCACAGCAGAGTCACCTGTCCTGACTAACAACGACAGACGCCGTGATTTGAGCTGAATGTCAAAAAGTGATTGCAGCCTCTGCAAAAACGGAGGTGAAGATGCTTCCTTACCGGAAAACAACAGCTGAATTACAAGATTATTCAACTTCAGCATTTTAAAGCTGTGTACGTTGATACGTAAAATACGCTTAGTGGGCCAAAAAAAAAAATGCCATTAATGTTGAAATCACAGGTTTACTATCAACTACTCATCTAATATATACATACAATAAATGTGGCAGAAACCAAATATGGAGTGGACTATTAGCTTACATCTTGTACATGCATAACTCTCGTCATGATTTAGTGTCATGACATCTCTGGTGTCACATGTCATCAGATTCGGTCCCAAAATTAAATGTTTAAATATTATAACTTTCGATGTTTTTTGTTTTTGTTTTTTCCTGTCATTTCTTTTTTCTCTGTCTTTTTATTTTTTTAAGAGGACACAAGCAGATGACAGTCCTGAGGTGAGGGACAAAAGTCACTGGAAAAACCATCCCTGCCCCCAGGTCAACCACTTCCGTAACTTCCTAACTTCTCTCCCGGCTTTCACGTTCGCCTGACCTCTTCCCCACAGGCAGCTAGTTGTAGTTCATGAAATGTACAGCAGGGCATGTGGTCACCCTGCTCAGAACCTCCCGCTGTCTTCCTCCCACCACATTAAGGAGGGACTCGGCACTGCTCGCCTGGCCCCGCACGTGGTGTGGCCCCGGCTGCATCCCTGGGACGTGGCTTTTAACGTCCCCTCTCTCATGAATCATGAATCCCAGTCTTAAAGCCCACACTTTCTCTCCTTGAACAGGCCAGCCTCATTTCTGCACGAGCATCTGGACTTGCGCTTCCCACGTGCTGGGAAGCTCTCTCCAGACTTGCTCATGGTGGCTTCTTCTGGCCATTCCGTCTCAATCCACGGACCATCTCAGAGGGGCCCTTCCTAACCACTAAGACAATCTCAGATCANTATATATATATATATATATATATATATATATATATATATATATATATATCCCAGACATCTTTGCATGTCAATAAATATATGTCACGATTTTTAATTGCTGAAAAGGTTTCTATTGTGTGTTCTCTAAATTGTTTAGCAATTCCATGGTGATTTAATATTATTAAGATTTAGCACAAGTCTACAGTGGTGAAATAAAGATTGAGTGTCATCCCCTCACTGGCCGCTGGCTGCATTCAGGCAGAAAATCTGTCCCTTTGTCACTAGGGCTGACTCAGCACCCACCCGGTTACAGGCAGGTGTCTCTCAAGGTAGCCTGGAGGCCCAGGTGGGTGGGACCTGCTTTGCTATTTTCTTTGGCTCTAATCCTGAAGTTTTCATTTCCTGGAATAGCAATCCCAGTAAGCAGAAGCACTCTTCTCCAGTGTTTTGTAAACAGCTTTCATTCTGTCACTCTGGTGCTCAAATGTCTCTGACAGCACCCCACTGCCGGCCAAAGTTGAGAAATCCTAAAATAGGTTGTTCCTTATGGGACATGGAGGGCCAGGCAGTGGGCGAGGTGCTTTATGTTGCGTTAGCTCAGTTAACACCTAAGGCAGCCCTATGGACGGTATCCGACTGTCCCCATTTAAAGATGAGGAGCTTGCGGGAGGGCCAGGGAGCGTCAGTCAAGACCTCGCCTGGCAAGTAAGTCGTGAACTAAACACACGCTCCAGTGCACCTCTAGCTTCCTGTTGCTGTTTTCTTGCCATTTTCCCCAACCCCTTTTTGTTTACTTTTTATTATGGAAACCTCCAAACGTGCACAAAGATAGAATAATAAACCACCTTGAACCCATCACCAGCTTCAGCAGTCATCCACACACAGCCGAGTTCATTTCCTCCTCTCTCTCCCCCCCCTCCCCCCCCGTCCTGCCCAAGCTGGATTATTTGTCTGGAATTCCAAGTACCATGTCATTCTGGGTGCAAACCCTCAAAACCAGATCTCTAAAATATGTGACATTTCTAACCCAAGGAAAGTCCCCCAACGAACGTGTTCGCATGGCTTCTGAGCGACCCCACCACCAGGTCCAACTCTCCTTTCCAGAGGATCTCCTATCACCTCCGCTCTAAGCCACTTCTGGGAAGGGTGGACCCCGAGCCCTGAGTGAAAAGACGCTGGTTGGAAGCTTCTTAAAAATTCCAGTGCCTGGACCCTACGTGCCCCACAGCTTCTGAGTCGGGATTTCTGACACGGCCCAGGGACCCACATCTGGATAAGCTTCCTCGGGCGGCTCTTGGACCCGGGTCCTGGGTCGCCACACGCTCTGTACTGCCCTTTCCTGCCCTCATGTGTGCCAGCCCGTCTGGAAGCTCCCCGTCCTTGATTGCCCCCAACCAGTCGCCCCCTCTTGACCAGCTCACGTGTCAGCTCCTTCAGGAAGTCTTTTTCTGATTTCCCACTGAAAACGAGTCTGTCTCCTTCCGAAGCCCCCTTGCATGGCATGTTCTCCTACAGCACTGGGCACAGCCACCACGTTACAGTGTCCACGCATTTATTCCATCCCCTCCGGGAGAATACAAACTACTGGAGGACAAGGGCCACTTCGAACACGTCTTTGTCTCGTGCATCATGCCTTGCAAAAACCGGCAATTCCTAAACAATTCTAGAATTGGCTCGCAGTGTCTCTCTTACAGGGTAGACCTTCAATTTCAAAACAAATTGTAGTTTTATAGATTGAGTCAAAATTAATGTTCAAGTGAATGAATTTATTTCCTCATTTCACAAATAGTCTAAAGATGCAGAAGTAGAGGTTAATGATCACTAATGATCAAATACCAAATTTTACTATGAGAAAAGGCCATTAGAGTTTTGTCTCCAGAGATGCCGGACAGAGACCCTGCAGGCAACCACTCCAAAAGCAGACATAATACAGAAACGGCTAGCTACAGGCACTGGGATGGGGACACGGTGGAGGGATGACGGAGGGGCGCATTCACGGTCACGTGACGCACAGATGGAAACTGTACAAGGTAGGCTTATTGCTCCAGTTTTTCACCTGGAGCTGCAGTGGGACAGAAAATGCAATAGAGAGGGTCCCCAAACTCGGTACCCAAGAGCCACACATGAGCATCTCTGAACCGAGACCAGACATGCTGCACAAGCAAGAGAATTTGTAGTTCAAGTCCAGGCAAGAAAGTTACCTGCTAACACGGAGGAAACAATACTCATCAGAGAAAAATAACAGAACCCAGGATCTCCATAATGCAATGTTCATAGCATACAGAATACAATTAAAAATGCGTCAACATACAAAGGATCAAGAAAACGGGACACGTTCTCAACGGAAGAAAAGTCAACAGAATCAGATGCAAGATGAACCAAATTTGGAAGTTACTAGGATTTTAAAGCAGTTACTTTAACTGTTGAGGGTTATATGAAGTTAAACAAAGCATTGTTTTAATGCCCGAGAAACCTCAGCAGAATAATGCAAAGACTCAGCAGAGAGCTAGAAATAACAAAAGTCCCAGGCATTGCCACAGATATGAAAGCGTGTCCACACAAAAGTGTGTATGGCAGCCATCCCTAACATCCAAATATGGATAGCTGTGTTCCTAACAGCTCAAAATTAGAAGCAACCCAAATGCCCATCAATCGGTAAATAGATCTTTATAAACAGTGGTATATCCCTACTACAGAATATTACTCAGTAACAATAAATAAATAAAACGGGTGAATCTTAAAAACATTAGGCGGAGCAAAAGAAGTCAAACGCAGAAGTCTATGTGCTGTATAATTCCACTGAAATAAAAAAATCCTAGAAAAGGCAAATTTTGAGTCACAGCATCTCAGTGGCAGCCTGGGGCCATGGGTGAGAAGGGTACAGAGTGCAAAGGGGCACAACAGAGGCCAGGGATCTATTCTCCATCTTGATTCTAGCGGTAGTAGTTGGCATCATTCTATATCACACAGTAATACGCAAGAACTCAAATCATCAACTGCACACCCGAATTCATGAATTTTATTGTATGCAACTTCATAACAAAGGGAAAAAGGGAATTTTAAAAAGAGCATAGCATGAAAGCCAAGTATTCCGCACACTGAATTTCAGCAGATGAGTAAGCCAATTTAGATAATTCAGGATAACCCAAAGAGACTTGGCAAGAAGAAGTCAGCGGTCCAAAGAAAATGACAGATCTGTTATCCAAAGCATCAGAAACAGTATATCTGGCCTGGCAGTTAAATCAAGCATTTCAGTAAGTTACTCTGGGGAGGAAAAATGGACTTAAGTCAAGAAAAAGAAAATGGAAACCGTCTGATTTGCCCTTTTGGTCAAACAGTGACTTGGCAAGAAACAGCAGCAGCAAAAAAAAAAAAAAAAAATTGGCACCAGCTTACTAAAAAGAGGATTTAATCTTCACAGCTAGTGACATTATATGGTGGGATTGGNAGAACCCCTTCCCATTCCACAGGTAGATTTGGTAGGTATTCCTTTAAGAAGAAACAATGTTTAAGAGATAACTAATATTTCACTTGTAGCATTAATTTATATAGTACATTTGATCACAAGCATCAGGATAATTACCAAAGATCATTTAAAAAAAACAAAACTCAGTTCCTTAAAGATTTACTACGTGCCAATCTCCTGCAAGGCCTCAAGCTGGGTACTGCGAGGGGAAAACCCAAATGACCCCGGTATCGGCTTCAGTCTTCGGGAGCTCATCTTATGCTAGCGTACCCATCACGGTTACACAAGGTCCTGCTACTCAGTTATCTTGTCAGGACAATGAGCACCGAATAATTTCAGGTCTTAAACTCTCCACCCAGAGGAAGCGAGGTGTCTGAAACAAGCCATCACAACCAAGGAAACTCACTCACACTTTTCTCAGAAGACGACAGGCGTGAAGCATGGTCAACTCTAAAATGTGGTGACTAAGGTCATCCTTAGAGTCACTTCTTGTACCAGAAAGAGCAAAAGGACCCCTACCCCATCCTCTTCCACCAAAGACGAACCAAAACATGCCCGGGGAATAGGTTAAAGTGAATATCAAGAGCCACCTCACAACATAACCTGAGACACCGAGGGACGTGTGTCAAGGCGAGACGGGCTTCGCCATGGAAATGGGTGGAAGGGTTTGTGGGCGGCTTGTGTGTTCATAGGAGACTCTAGTCATTTTTTCCCACCAGTTGGCAGGACAGTGACCTGCACAGGGCTGCCCCCTGCTCTGCTGCCAACACACATAGGGCTGAAGTGGGCGACCCTTGCTCGCGCCCCCAGCCGCTCTGCGGGGCCTTGTGGTCTGTTAGTTTCAAGGCACGTTAACGCCGTAGGTTGGTGAGTGTTGCATCTGATTAATCATTAGCCAGTTTATCATTAGCCGGTTACCAGTGAAGGTGGCCTATGGCATAATTCATTAGAGCTTAAATAGCCGTTGATATCCTGAGGCATTTCTCACTGAAATTGTGGGGGCTGTTTTTGAGCAGTGCAGTAGCTCTACCCCCCTCCCCCACCTCTCCTATGGTTCATTCTATCGAAGGCATCAGGAAAGACAGCCAGCAACAACAGCCAAGACAAAGGTTCGCTTTGACAGGAAACACCATCAGCTCTTTATGAGCAGGGATGGTATCAAGACATGAAGCAGAATCGCGTGCTCAGGAAAGGAATCACGATTGTACCCTTCTAGAAATGGGTTTAGCTTTCTCACCAACACCACGGAGAGACGTGACCTACTGGGTCCCTACGAAGGGGAGCATGTTTAGTGTGTTCTGAGGTTTGCGATGCCGTCATGCCTGCCCGCAGGTGGGAGCAGACGGGTTTCAGGCGTTTTGATGCACAGCAAACGCTGTGTGCTGCCCGGAGGCCCATGAGTGCAAAACCGAGACGCAGGAGTCCGGTCGGTTTGATTACAGAGACCCGGTGTTCTTCGTGGTGCTGAAGCTGAGAGCAAAACGGCGCCGGCGGCTAGGATTCCAGGCAGGAGCTACAGGAGGGGTTCTTGCATTCTGCGTGGCTTTGTCTTCGCTCCGCAGACATGTGTGGGGGCGTCCGCTGGTGACAACTTTCAATGGAAAGAGGCTCTCACTTTTCGGCCCTTCAGAGGCTGTGGGGGACGATGGTTGCTCAACAGGAAGGCGGCGGCTTCGCCCTCGGCTGTACACAGGAGCGAGCGGAAGGTGGCCAGCTGCGGGGGAGAGAGCAAGACCACGGCTCAGCACACACCGTCACGCCAGCGTTTAGGAAGAGCCCTGGGCAGGGAGTCGGCAAGCGTATAACCTTCCCTCCACCAGGCGCTCACATGCTGCAGCGCGATTTCCCCAAGTTATGGGTCACACATCGTAAAGCAGCTCCTTTGCTAAATGCCCACCTCCGTACAAATACCTACAGCTGCGACAATGAAGTAGTTGAAGGTAAGCGACATGTGCAGTGTGGCTTAAAGAGTATATATGTAGAAATCAGAGAATGTCGCCTACACAGACACAATGGGACAGTGGAAAGGGACGCTGGCTTCCAGGGCGAGGTCCTGTTCCTGGTTCTGCCATGACCCGCCGTCTGACCTGGGCCAAGTAAACTCATTGTCTCCAGCCCTCGGTTTCCTCAACTAGGAAGTGAAGCGTTGGGTTGGATCACCTCAGTAGATGGCTCCCGGCTCCCGGAAGCACCCTGAACATGCACAGGTACCCCGATATCACACAGCCCCGAGTCTCCTGGGAACCACGGAGTGTGCGCCCTGCAGAATTCTCATTGTTTTCCTTCAGCTAGAAATGTCCTTGCTCTCACCATCCTTGTACCTGGTGAACAACCAACTACGGTAAAAGCCGAAGGCCAGCAACCTCCGAGAACGTTCCAACACAACTTAAGTCACACAGACATAGTTCTGTATGTCCTAATCTACGTGGCCTAATTTTTCTTATTACAACAAATATCTATCTTGCAAACGTCATACCACACTAAAGTCTAAAGAAGAAAACAGAAATTACTAGTGATTACACAAGATGTAACCACTATTGACATTATAGAGTATAGCCTTCGAGACATTATTCTGTGTATAAACGCACATACACGCTTCAGATATTTTATTACAAAAATGAGCTCAACTATACATCTCTTTTGAAACCTTATTCTTTTGACAAGTGTACATATATATATATGTATATATATATATATATATATATATATATATATATATANCAGAGCCGGCTTGGATTCCTGCTGTACCCAACACCTAGCACGGACTGTCACAGAGGACAGGTACAGTACATATTTGATGAATGAATGAAGAAAATATGTGATGTGTCTCTAGACAAAGTTTCAAAGATGTCTCCCAGGTAAACTAACTTCAGAGGCATCCTTCCCTAAGTGTCTCCACAGAGCAGGGATGAAAGACGTTCTAGGGGAAACCAGCACCTCTGCCGTCCTTGCTGCTGTCCAGTAAGACCTGAGCTGCACCATGAAGTCTCCCCCTCAGAGCTAAGCAGCAGAGTGGAGAGCTGGGGTAATCGGTGCAGCGCTGAGTTTGGGCGGAGGCGCAAACCAGCTGGCTCAGGAGCAAGCGCATGGTACCCAAACACACACTGTCAGGAAAAGGTCCCAGCATCATGCTTGAGCTGTGGAAAGCCTGCTCACAATCTGAGGGTTAAAGCCAGAGTAGCAGAGCTCCGCTTAGTTCAGCTGCAAAGCTTGCCTTTCTCGCCACAGAGCTGGCTGCACATTGGGGAGTTTCCACTAAAATTCCCAACCTGGGGCCACGGCCAGCAAACGTCTAATCCTGGAGACCATCCTCTCAGAGCAGGGCTGTATGCAGGGTGGGAAAAGTGCATCAAATATCAAGGTTCACGTAGCACTGACTTTGAGATAGATAGCCTATAGTAAGACAGCGAAACTGCGGTATACAATGAACAATGGTGGCCAGAGTTATTTTTAATGAGAACGACTTAGTGTTTTCAAGTGTCCCATTATTCACCTTATTTTCCAGCCTCGATGAGTAAATGAACATTACTGTCTCCATCTGAAGCCTGAACACAAGGGATCATTTCTCCAAAATCTCACTTGCCGTACATGGAGTCCATGTATCATTTCGTTCAGAAGTGTTTAAAGCAATCTATTCCAAATAATGCACACTCATATAAGAGGTGAAGCAACGAGAGTTAAAAGCCATAAAAGTTTTGGGGGAAATGGAATACCTTAGTAACAGGATGTTTGTCACCTGCTTTATGCTGCAGAGCCCAACAGCACTGCGAAAGGAGACCGATGCTTGTGTTTCTATTGCCTTTGACTTTTAATATTGTTAGTCATTTTCCAGCCCTGCTCAGTTTCTGAAACTACACTGTAGTCAGCTGCCTTGAATAATAAGTCTGGCCGGCAACAAAACCAGAAAAAAAAATTAATTAAAAAAATCACCACAGCGGTTCAGGCACTTCCTGTCTCTCCCACTGGGATTCGGAGTCCTTTAGTGCAGATCTATCTTGTCCCCTTGGGTCCCCAGGACCCAGGAGAGTACCTGGATCAATAAAAACGCTGACATAAAATGAGACCCCACCTGGAGAAGCGCCCCCACACACTTCAGTGTGCAAGGCGGCTACTGACATGACCTGGGAACCGCTAACGGGCGCGCTTCTAGGGCCAGTTAGCGTGACGGAGTCACAGCCTAACCACTGTGTGACCCACGTCCTCTGAAGGGAAGCTAAGTGACACAGCACCCCTGTGTTTGCCTGGAATCTAGGAAAAGAGGAAGCAAAGAGCACAGATCTGCCAGGGTTATACCATGAGAGAGAGAGAGAGAGAGAGAGAATGAAGACCTGGACATTCCCAGGCGCTGGGGCCTGAATTCTTTAAGGAGCCAGAAGAACCTTCTGGAAGCCTGGCTTCTTGTGCTTGGAGCAGATGCACGCCAAGTTACTGTCTGATCACTCATTCATTCAACAATTCCTAAGAGCTTACTATGGGTTGGCAACAGTGCTCAATGCCAAGTCTGCAGTGGTGAGAGGGAGCGAGAAAGACAGAGGGAGTCGGGGAGGAAAAGGGAAAGGAAGACCCCTGGACCATCATGGAGCAAATTAGAGCTGGGGTTGTTTATGACCAAGGGTGCTGCTACAAGGAAAACCCAGCTTTAGGTGAAGGACAATCTAATCGCTTCTTATTCGAACTCTAGGAGAGTAGCCTCTGTGTTTGTACATCTGAGGCATTATAAACAGTATCCAGGTATGACTGTGGGTGGTGTAAGCTTTGTACCCGGAAGCCTTGGGCTGCAACAGAGCCCATTACATCACCTAGATTCACGAAACTGAGGGCATGGAGGGAAGACAAACTGAATATATATAAAAATCAAGGCCCCCACCTTCCCCCCAAAGTTGAACATACCATGTGTTCATCTTTCTTTGTGTATTTTTTGCAATGCTCTGAATAACATATATCACTTTTTATGAATTTGACGGATATGAGGAAGAACTTTTATGGGATTATAATTCTTGCTAACAATACAGCTGAGCTTAATGTTTAAGTGAAAACTTTCCTCCAGTGAAGGATTTTTAAAGTTTAACTATCTTTATCATTAATAGAGCAAACATAGCATCATCCTAATATTAGACAAAAAAATTGTTTTTTAAATTATCAAAGCCTTAAAATCTGATTCTGTCTAATCTTCTCTCTCATCTTACTTTTAAATGTGACACCATCTGCTCCTTGGGGTGTAGCTGAGCTTGAAGGGGTCCATGCTCGTGCTAAGGAAATACTCTTTTCTGCTTCATTAACTGAATTTATTATATATAAACGATACTCACGTTGAATGTGTTTGGGCCATTATTTAATCCCGGTGTGAAAGACTCTCTCCCCTGAACTCATCAAACAAAACTTCTATCACAAGTTGTAGCAAAGTACTAACACCTGGTGCACAGGTGTTTCAGATCCCGGAGACACGAGCGCGCCATTCAGTCGCCCAAGCCCCATCCCCTCCCAAAACAAGAAAAGCCAACCTGATTTGTCCTCTGTGTCGTCAAAGTCAACGCTGAAGGAGTGGCCGTTGTTACTGATGATTTTAGCCGAGCTTGGGTCATACTTGATCCTAAGAGGTCGGAGGGAAGAGTCATACTTCACTTCTTTGGTTTTGATCTCAATCGGAGACTGCTGATCCCCATCAGCAATGGGGAAAAACTCATTCCAGTGAACAGGACCTTGAAAACACGGGGCCAAGAAAAGGTTACATGAGTTAGTTCATCCAAAATACTTAACAGCAACAGACGGTGCTTGAGATTGAAGAGAAAACTTAGATTAATCAAATCAGATCTTTGTCCTTAGGACCTTAGCATCTAATTGAGTTTGTTTTTGTTTTTTTCTTTACTAGCCTAGTTGCTCTTATTACAGGTATGGAAACCTCCTGGTTTGCTTTCATTCACTTTCAGAATTAAACTTACCCTTGTGGACAAAGAGCATGCAGGTTGTGTAAGGAACTTTCTGAAGGAACTCTCCTACCAAATTAAAAACAACAGCACAATTCACTATAGAAAACAATGAGGTTCAGTGTCAGGTCCAAGAATGAGCTGGGATAGCTGTGGAGGTCATGAAATTTAAGGGCTGAAAGAACTGATGGAGCCGAGAGCTGTGTGGTTCTTACAAACGGCATTTCTACTTCTTTCTTCTATCACTCCCTGCTATCTAAGGGGGTCACTCAGGTCTCAACTCAGTTACCTGTGACCGTGCAACAGGCATACTAAGAAAATACTGAAAAGCCCCACACAGGATAACCCCAATAAAATGGCTGCACCATGTCAGGAAAAGGAATACTGCTGAGTAGCTGCAGTGGAGCCAGGTAGCAATTTATTTCTCTCTTTTTTTAGTTTCAGAAGGTGCTGTTGTGGTTAGTTTGCCAATGCTACATTTGGCAAAATTTTAGAGTGGGTCACGACAATCGTCATCCTGATCCACTACTCCACAAGCCAAAATCGCATCAAGTCCCAAATCAGACGCACGTCTGGTAGCTTGATGTGGACCATAAGTCAGCAGCTCCCCTGTCATATCGCTTCAGTTCTCCGGGAGACTCCATTCAGTTCTGCCCGTCAAAAGCAGCAGTGAGGAGGCAGCGCCAAGTAAGTGCCAACTCCTTCTGCAGACCTGAGTCACTGTCTGAGTCACAGGTTCTTCTCATCTTCTCCACTGTATCTGCAACTTAAACCGCCACCACTGGGCAAGGAAACACAGCCACCACGGGGCAAGGAGACATCAGAGTGACTGACTAAGCTTTTCCCTGCTTCACTAACCAGCTGACCTAATTTCTCTAAAACTCAAGCACTTATGAAACTGCTACAGCATGACAATTAACTACATATTAGTGGTTAACAAAAAGCATTTTAAAAGATTTAGAATGAAACTTCACGAAATTGCAAATATATCACAATTAGCAGCAGCTTCCATTTGTACATCTAATGCCCCTTTCACTCTTGATTTGCGCAAAGGAGAAAGCATAAATTTCTTCCTTCACATATGCATGCTTCAGGTACAAAAAGGCATAGCATGAACACCTGATCACACACACAACTTAGAAGTTGTTCTCTTGTGAATCTGACACTTGGGACTTCAAAGTAACTTGAACAGCCAGAGTCCTGGCTTACAAAGTACTACAGAAAAAGCCTTACATTTCCTTACATAGTACTCTCATTTACCTTTCTACAATAGTACTCTTTCTGTATACAAGCTAATCCAATTTTAGGTGGG